GGAGATTGCCATGATTTTTCAGTGGTAATTGTGCGGCACTGTGGCCTGCAAATGCAGGGTGGGTGAGTGATAGCCAGTATGATGAAAGAGTATCAAGTACACGTCACGCACACGTGATGACGGAATACCAACTTCCATGCGAACGAAATACGGAGGGATCAAAACAGGGAGGAAAAGACTTATGCAACAACCTAATACTTCAGCCAAGAGTGCACGGGAAAGGGAGAGTAGTGATACCCGGTCTCCATAAACTGCCCGTCCTGCCACCCACTTTAATATAACCAAACTTCCTATTCTCCTGCGCCCTCTCACTTATGGTTATTCGCGTGGAGAAGTATTCAAAAGCTACTCGATTCCCTACCACTTTGACGTATTTCGTCTTCCCTTAAGCCCGATTTACGTGCACTTTTGAGCGGAGGGATTGGCACGCTGGCAGCCTCGGACCCGTTCACCTCGTACGTACCGTACTCGGGAGTAAGCGTATAGCGTGTTTTTAAAAATTTTTGCATCTGTACTCCCCTGTATTAGTTCCTTTCAAGTTTTCCTCTTGTGCGTTCCTGATTTTACGCAAACTGACGGAAATTAGAAAGCTAGCTACAAACGTTACTTAGGTTCCCTGATCCGTACCGTTGGATGGAGGATCCTGACGCTGAAGAGACGCGTCACTTTGTCGATCAGCTTAATGCGATCTCGGAATCGTTCCTAGCCAAAGCTCCAAGTCGCGAGAAGATCAGAAAACGGTTGGTAGGGTTTGCCGAAATGTATTGAATTAAGACGCGGTTACTCCTGCTATAACAACTGTTACTGCAGACTTACCGAATTATGGAACTTATGAGAAATACAGCTGTCCATCAAAACATGGAGATTTCTACTACTACCAATATAATACTGGGCTTCAAAATCAATCGTAAGATTCAAAGATCCACTCACATTTTGATAAAGCTTTTATGAATAATGAATGAGTAGTGTTTGGTATGGTTCAGCGTGCTTTACCAACAGAAGAATGTGACTGAGAAAGGTGAGGTATTCTTGGATCCAAATACGCTCTCACCGGATGGGACCATCGCTCTCGCGTAAGCTTGTTTCTATTCGTTTTTGAAGGGTTTTCCAATACAGAAATAAGGAACTGTCGGGTACAGGGAGCTCGATTTTTATCCTAAGTTTTCGGAATTTCAGAGCATCTCCAAACTGCTCATTTTCTTGGGTTTAGTTTGTAATCACTGACGTGTCTTCCATTGCTACGCGGACATGCTGTCCAGGGTCGAGGCAAACATAAACCTATATGATTCGTTAATATTGCTGTGCCTCTCGAGGTTTTCAGGCGCAGAATATTGGTCGACTACTAAGGCTAACGAGTAGAAGCTTCAGCACAAAGATCAAGAATGTGCAAAATCTGTAAAGTGTCACAACGAGATCACATACCGAGCACAGAGGTTAAGCTTAGTGGAGTGAAACTATGTAGTCCAAGGTAAATGAATCATTTAGTACAGGAGCTATACATATAAAAGAAAACGAGAATGGTCATCGGTCATGCTGCTGAAGAAGGGCAGTAGATGGACCTCTCGGCTTACGTCTTCGATCCCACTCGACCAGACATGACCCA